AACAGCCGAGTTTTCTCGTCCATCGAAAAAATATTTCTATAAATTCCATTTTTTAACCGAAATGGATGGGGATACTTTTGTTTTGTAGGGAATTTATTTGCGAATGTTTTGGTACCAGAATGAATATTATATCACATAAACTTCTATGAGTAAAAAAAAAAAAAAACACAAAGTATGTTTGGGGGTGTGGCGGGTGTGGCTCTGGGTGTGGCGGCCGTGTGGCAGTGGGTTCCCTTTACCCGTTGATATATCCAACACGTGGGAAATATTTGTATGTGTTATGTATATGTCTGTGTAGGGAATTTTACTGCGATCACTGTCATACAAATTATAAAATGTTTCAACAAGTATAAACATGACAAACATCAAACGAACGAAAACAATGCGTTCGTTTCTGCCGCGAACGCATACTGAGCGACGTGGTTCTATATTTGGCGCTTCTCTTACACATGCTTTGTACAAATGTTATACAGTTCATCTTATAGAAAATTTTATTGCGAACACATTGGTATAAAAAAGAAATACGTACATAGAAAAGTAGGGTCAGGAAACGTATAAACTTTCCAAGCATGATTTCCCCCCTGTGTTTTCGCCAGTGCGCTCGCGGCTAACTACTCTCCACTTCACACACTCTTGCGGGTGGGCAATTACCTATATTAAACATTCATATGCATATGTCCGTGTAGAGAATTTTATTGCGATTCCAATGATACCAAAATTAGCGATGTAGGACAACTGTAGGCTTCGCAACCATTAAGAGAGTGGAAACATTTTGTTGCTGTTTGGCGCTCTCGGCGAGTGATCTGCATAGTTTTTTATTTGGTGTTGATACTCCTTATGCTTGGGCGGCATTTTATAGGTATGCTCTTATAGACAATTTCATTGCGAACACAGTGATACCAAATTTAAATACGTGCGCCTTCAATTATTTTCAGGACAGTCAAAAGAGTGTACACTTTTCGGTCTTACCGCGTAGGCGCGCGAAGTGCCGAAAGCATCTGGGGTATTGTTTTTTTTTGAGCGCCGAGAGCGCGAAAGTGTTAAGAAGTCAACATTCGGGTTTCCACTCCACAGAGGGGAAAGAACGAGACAGATCATCGGTCAGGATGTTGGACACTTCCTGGACGTGAACAGCACAGAGCCAAACCCCAAGAACTCAGCAGAGGAGCTACTCGAAGTGACCAGCTCCACAGAGGCACGGATTGAAGAGACTTCCACCGGATGAGACAAGGAACCACAGGGGAACAGTCTGAATGGAGCCAGATCACCAAGTCCCGAGGAATCCAACCCTTGCACTGTCACAGTCACACTGACACATACTCCCGCTCTGTGCTGAGACCCCAACAAAGGGAAAGCGCCAACAACCCTGGCCAGACTGGTGAGCTGTGGGCATAAAGTCCAAATCTATAACCGAGGCATCTGGGAAAGCATCGAGCGTTACATATTACTGTAACTACAGGATGTAGAAATGGTAAAATAGCCATTTGTCTGCAGACTGGCACCAGGTGTCTAGACACCTGACGTGCATCAAAACCACCACCAGTTTTTTGTTAACATCTACATGAGCATTGTAAATACTGTACAGTATCTATTATTATGTCATTTTATAGAATAATGTCTCCTCTTTCAATTTATACCATAATATTTGTAACAATATTAAATAATTATTTTTTAGTCCACTTCCACCATCAATAACTATGTATTCAGGGACCAGTAACTTTATCCTGTGTAGAGTACAAAACTTGTCCCAGAACAGGCAGACCAATCATCATCAGTGATACCCCAGTTCTCAGGCCAAATGTCACATTACATAATCTTGTAATCAAGCAGCACAGCATCCAAACAATTTACCTGAATTTACCTGAGGGCCACTATTTCCCTAGTGGTCTTGAAGAGGACAGGAAGCCGGTAGCATTTCAAAAGTTCCTCCATTTTTCCTGATCATCATGACGTGTATCTTGCATCCACAATCCTTATCTTAAATAAGGATTCTCAATGGGATAATCCTTTCCCTTAAAACCAAGTCTAGTGCCCTTGAGGAGATACCAACTTTAATTTACAAAAAAGCCTCCAGATCTTTAGCCCCTGATATTGTATTGCTCTTCAACAAGTCACTTCAATTCCAAACCTTTCCAGATATTCTAAAAAAAAGCGAGAGTAACCCCTGTCCACAAATGTGGTGATCTCACCGATGTTAACAACTACAGACCTATATCAATCCTGCCTAACTTGTCAAAAATATTTCAAAAACTAATCTACAAGCAGCTTTACTCTTATCTAGCCAAACACAATATACTTAGCTCTTGTCAATATGGCTTCAGACCCAAAAAAAGCACTAACGATGCACTTATTAGTATGATTAACTTGATTCATGCAGCTCTTGATAAAGATGAGTTCCCTGTTGGGTTATTTGTGGACCTGCGAAAGGCTTTTGACACTGTCAACCACCAAAACCTTCTTCTTAAATTACATCATTATGGAGTCAGAGGACACTCCCTACAATACCTCAAACCTTACCTTACTGACAGGCTCCAGTATGTTTCTGTGAATAATTCAATTTCTCCCACCCTACCCATCAACATCGGTGTTCCTCAGTTCCTCCTCTTTCTCATCTACTTTAATGATCTTCCAAATGCCTCCCAACACCTCAAACCATTTCTATTTGCTGACGACACAACCTTCATTTACTCCAGTCCTGACCCCCTTGCTCTAAATGCCACAGTGAATACTGAGCTAAATAAAGTCCATCTGTGGCTAACTGCCAACAAACTCACCCTTAACATTGACAAAACTTTCTATATTCTGTTTGGCAATAAATCCTCTAATCAAATAAATCTCAGGATAAATAATACCAAAATTTGTAACAAAATAGATGGCAAATTCCTTGGGGTTCTCATTGACCACAAGCTGAATTTCCAGGGACGCATTCTAAATATATCAAAAAAGTTTCAAAAACTGTTGGCATTCTTTCTAAGATCAGATATTATGTACCCCGCCGTGCCCTGGTGACGCTCTATTACTCCCTCATCTATCCATATCTCAACTATGGTATTTGTGCTTGGGGTTCTACTACACAAAATCATCTACGTCCTCTAATTACTCAACGCAAAGTTGCTATTAGGACAATATCCAACTCTGGCCCCAGACATCACTCGGTACCCCTACTCAAATCTCTGAATATGTTAGATATTAAATCACTGCATATTCTCTGTGTATTATACATATATAAAACGCTGAACTGTAATGCCAATCCTGACCTCAAAAGCTTCATTGAAGGTTGTAACAGAACCCATGAGCACCACACCAGAAACAAATACAGTTTTGATATTTCAAGAGTACGACTTAATCAAACTAGAAATGCTCTACAAATCAAGGGACCCAGAATGTGGAATGACCTTCCCAACCATGTTAAAGACTACATCTCTCAACCAGTTTAAGATAAAAACTAAGCACTACCTAATAAATTCCCTGTAACCTACCTTACCCCTATATTGTCAACCCCATATCTGTTTTTTCAAACAATGCTGTTTGTCGACCTAATTGTATTTGTGCTGCTTTTTCTGCCATGTTCCCCCTTTTTTCCTTTTTTAATTTTTATTTGTTCTAAACACATTTTATACTTTAATCTCATTTAGTATTAAGTTTTAGTCTTTAATGTTTTTCCTGCCCGAAACGCTTTGCGTAATAGTGGCTTTAGGCATTGTATGTACTAGCTCTATCTATAAATCTATCAATTTTTGTAAAACCTCTTGTATGTATGTACTTTACCTGAATAAACATTTATTTATTTATTTATTATTTAATGTTCTAATATAGCTGTGACATTATAAACTAATATATCCCTTACAATACTGTACAACACAGATCTGTACAGTAGTCCATATCCCTATTTATCACTTGTGCCATCAGTGTCTCCAATTTGAGCCAGGTTCTGAACCCTACTTGAGGAAATTGATAAAATTTCTATAGGTAATTTAAAAATTAACTTTTGATATATGCCTTTTGGCACTATTATGATAGCATAAATCAGGATGATGTAACTGTACGTGTATGAGTGTTACAATTATTTCATCTTGTAATTTGCTTGATTGGGTTCTGGGAGTTCTACTCCCCAAGCCCGGAACGAGGCCAGGCTTGACGCAAGTAGCTTAACATTCCATAGCAATAGTATACAAAAAGGTCCCAAGATGCACTCCAATTACTGTACATGTAACACACTTCGTGTAGAGTATATAAAAACAAAAATGTCATTCTCGTTAGGTTTCATTCACCTGGGGTGTATGAGGTTTCGAACCCTGGGCTCCACACGAGTGAGGCCGAAGCTTTATTGACTGGGCTATGAGTGGTCTTAAAAAAGAAAGATTTTAGTAGTAGTATCTTGCTACCAAACTGGAATTTTTTACTTTCCCCTGACTACTACTGAAGCTCTCAAGAGGAATTAGTGGTCCATGCTCATGTCATATAAATTGTCATCTACACTTCTGTGAAAATAAACCATACAGTCCAAAGATGAATGGAATGTTTATTTCCAGGGAATGTGTGGATGACAATTCTCATTAGGTTAGATAAGGTACTCTTAGGACTGTTTCGAACCCAATCAGGTAAGTCACCCCTTTAGCACTTTCCTCCATCCAATGTGTCTAACTTTTGTGGACTTTCTAAATGTGTTGAGCTAGGCAAGGACTGCTGTGATTACATAACAGGATATTAGATTAAAAGTAGAAGCAACGTGTCCCGACACTCTGCATCCCACACAGCCGCAGTTCTCAGGTATCTGTACTCCAAATATTAGCACACATGCCTTGTCAACAATTGGTCTGCTTTTCTGGATCTCAACACCCGAGGACTGCCTGCAGCCTGCTTATGACGGGACCACCATCACCATGGTATCTCTTCTAGCCAAACCTGCGACACACGACTTTACGTCAACCCCATGTGTACTTTTGGTAAATATTTAATGTGGCTTTGTGTAATCAAGGTGTGGAGAGTATAGCACTAACCTGGCCGCTGCATGAACCAAGTACCGCTCCAGAAACCGACACCCGCAGCATCAACCAGCGCCTGTAGCAGCTTCGACCTTCCCGCTCCTCCTTCGTATTAATTCCAGGTTCTTAAGTCAGATAAAAAATATTATAACATTATTACCTGCGTTAATGATCAAAACACTAAGTGAAAACATAAAAATTATTTTTAAAATTGCAATATTCTACCAAAATAGTTCTTATATGTGCGGAAATGTATACATTTTAAAAAATACAATTATCAAAGATATAGTCAGTACATATGACTTTATTCCTCTCATTGGATAAAGTGGTAAACTTATTTATTTAAAAATAAATATTTATTTATTTATAATGGTGAACATTACAATTGTAAACTATGTGAACAAGAGCTGGGACATACTCACTATAACTATATCTGAGATTACCCTGATATAAGTGACTTCAGCAGACCATTTTTTTTAATTAGCAAAATTTAGGTTTACACAGCAATGTGCTGCTACCCAAAAAAAATCATCAAAATCAAAATGTTTATACAGGTAAAATTACATACAAGATGAGTTACAAACATAATGTTGGATTTATAGATAGCGCTAGTATATACAATATCAAAAGCCAATAATATACAAAGCGTTTCGGGCAAGGTGTGGGGAAAAACAAACACGTTCAAATTCAAATTAAAAAAATTCAAATGTTTATTCAGGTTTTTGTAAGTACATACATACAAGGTGTGATACAAACATTGATGGATTAATAGATAGAGCTAGTACATAACAACTACAGACCTATATCTATCCTGCCAAACTTGTCAAAAATTTTTGAAAAACTAATCTATAAGCAGCTTTACTCATATCTAGCCAAACTCAATATACTTAGCCCTTGCCAATATGGCTTCAGACCCAAAAAAAGCACTAACGATGCACTTATTAGTATGCTTAACTCGATTCATACAGCTCTTGATAAAAATGAGTTCTCTGTTGGGTTGTTTGTGGACCTGCGTAAAGCTTTTGACACTGTCAACCACCAAAACCTTATTCTTAAATTACATCATTATGGAGTCAGAGGACACTCCCTACAATACCTCAAATCCTACCTTACTGACAGGCTCCAATATGTTTCTGTGAATAATACAATTTCTCCCACCCTACCCATCAACATTGGTGTTCCCCAGGGCAGCATACTTGGCCCTCTCCTCTTTCTCATCTACATTAATGACCTTCCAAATGCCTCCCAACACCTCAAACCAATTCTATTTGCTGACGACACAACCTTCATTTACTCCAGTCCTGATCCCCTTGCTCTAAATGCCACAGTAAATACTGAGCTAAATAAAGTCCATCTGTGGCTAACTGCCAACAAACTCACCCTTAACATTGACAAAACCTTTTATATTCTGTTTGGCAATAAATCCTCTAATCAAATAAATCTCAAAATAAACAATACCCAAATTTGTAACAAATTAGATGGCAAATTCCTTGGCATTCTCATTGACCACAAGCTTAATTTCCAGGGACACATTCTAAACATATCAAAAAAAGTTTCAAAAACTGTGGGCATTCTTTCTAAGATCAGATATTATGTACCACGCCCTGTTCTGGTGACTCTCTATTACTCCCTTATCTATCCATATCTCAACTATGGTATTTGTGCTTGGGACTCTACTACCCAAAATCACTTACGTCCTCTAATTACTCAACACAAAGCTGCTATTAGGACAATATCCAATTCTGGCCCCAGACATCACTCGGTACCCCTACTTAAATCTCTGAATATGTTAGACATTAAGTCACTGCACATTCTCTCATGTGTATTATACATATATAAAACGCTAAACTATAATGCCAATCCTGATCTCAAAAGCTTCATAGAAGGTTGTATCAGAACCCATGAGCATCACACCAGAAATAAATACAGTTTTGATATTCCTAGAGTACGACTTAATCAAACTAGAAATGCTCTACAAATCAAGGGACCCAGAATGTGGAATGACCTTCCCAACCATGTTAAAGACTGTACCTCTCTCAACCAGTTTAAGTTAAAAGCGAAGCTATACCTAATAAATTCCCTGTAACCTACCTTACCCTTCTATTGTCAACCAATGTCTGTTTTTTTCTTTAAAGAGCGCTGTTTGTCGACATAATTGTATTTGTGCTGCTTTTTCATCTATGTTTTCATTTCTTGTTTTCATTCTACTCATTATGCTCAATTAGTATTAAGCTTGTCATTTAAGTTTATCATGCCCGAAACGCTTTGCGTAATAGTGGCTTTAGGCATTGTATGTACTAGCTATACCTATAAGTTAAACAATCCTTGTAAATATTTATTGTATGTATGTACCTTACCTAAATAAATTTGTATTGTATTGTATTGTACATACAATGCCTAAAGCCACTATTACGCAGAGCGATCGGGCAGGAAAAACACTAAAGACTAAAACAAATACTAATTGATATTAAAGTATAAATTAAGTTGAGAAAATATAAAAATAAAAAAGGGGGAACGTGGCAGAAAAATAGCAAATATAAAATTTGGTCGACAAACAGTATTGTTTAAAATAGCAGACGTGGGTTGACATAAGAACATTATGGGCTGCTACCTTACCTTGAGGTTACCTTGAGGTGCTTCCGGGGCTTAGCGTCCCCGCGGCCCGGTCGTCGACCAGGCCTCCTGGTTGCTGGACTGATCAACCAGGCTGTTGGACGCGGCTGCCCGCAGCCTGACGTATAAGTCACAGCCTGGTTGATCAGGTATCCTTTGGAGGTGCTTATCCAGTTCTCTCTTGAACACTGTGAGGGGTCGGCCAGTTATGCCCCTTATGTGTAGTGGAAGCGTGTTGAACAGTCTCGGACCTCTGATGTTGATAGTTCTCTCTTGAACACTGTGAGGGGTCGGCCAGTTATGCCCCTTATGTGTAGTGGAAGCGTGTTGAACAGTCTCGGACCTCTGATGTTGATAGTTCTCTCTTGAACACTGTGAGGGGTCGGCCAGTTATGCCCCTTATGTGTAGTGGAAGCGTGTTGAACAGTCTCGGGCCTCTGATGTTGATAGTTCTCTCTTGAACACTGTGAGGGGTCGGCCAGTTATGTCCCTTATGTGTAGTGGAAGCGTGTTGAACAGTCTCGGGTCTCTGATGTTGATAGTTCTCTCTTGAACACTGTGAGGGGTCGGCCAGTTATGCCCCTTATGTGTAGTGGAAGCGTGTTGAACAGTCTCGGACCTCTGATGTTGATAGTTCTCTCTTGAACACTGTGAGGGGTCGGCCAGTTATGCCCCTTATGTGTAGTGGAAGCGTGTTGAACAGTCTCGGGCCTCTGATGTTGATAGTTCTCTCTTGAACACTGTGAGGGGTCGGCCAGTTATGCCCCTTATGTGTAGTGGAAGCGTGTTGAACAGTCTCGGGCCTCTGATGTTGATAGAGTTCTCTCTCAGAATACCTGTTGCACCTCTGCTTTTCAACGGGGGTATTCTGCACATCCTGCCATGTCTTCTGGTCTCATGTGATGTTATTTCTGTGTGCAGGTTTGGGACCAGCCCCTCCAATATTTTCCACGTGTAAATTATTATGTATCTCTCCCGCCTGCGCTCAAGGGAGTACAGATTTAGGCTCTTTAGTCGGTCCCAATAGTTTAGATGTTTTACTGAGTGGATTCTAGCAGTAAAGGATCTCTGCACGCTCTCCAGGCCAGCAATTTCTCCAGCTTTGAAAGGGGCTGTCATTGTGCAGCAGTACTCCACTCTAGAGAGCACAAGCGTTTTGAAAAGTATCATCATCGGTATAGCATCTCTAGTGTGAAAAGTTCTTGTTATCCAACCTTTCATTTTTCTTGCAGTTGTGACGGCTACTTTATTGTGTTCTTTAAAGGTAAGGTCTTCCGACATGAGTACACCCAGATCCTTTACATTGCCTTTTCGTTCTATGTTATGATTTGCCTGAGTTTTGTACGTGGTTTCCGTTTTTATATTTTCATTTTTTCCATAGCGCATGAGCTGGAACTTATCTTCGTTAAACACCATATTATTTTCTGTAGCCCATAGAAAGACCTGATCTACATCTGACTGGAGGTTCGTCGTGTCCTCTATGTTGCCATGATTTGATGTTGGTATCATATCCGTGAAAAATTCATTTGGGTTATCAATCTTCAGTGTGTTCAGTGGCTCGCTGAAAACAGTCGTACTGATTCCTCAGTATTTCGCTCATTTCTTTGTTGTCATCAGTGAAAGTTACATCTCTCTTTCGCAGGGGCCTGATACTAGATGTGTTTTTTTATCTTGATTTTGCATAGGAGAAAAAATATTTTGGATTTCTCTCTATTTCACTGATGGCCTTTTGCTCTCTCTGCCTCTCCTGGGTTTTGTATGATTCTTGTAGCTTTAGTTCAATTGTTTCTATTTCTCTACCTAACCTTCTTCGCTGTTCTTGAGATAGGGTGCGACTCTCAAGTTGTCCCACGATTCGTTTTCTTCGCCTATAAAGAGAACGATGTTCCCGTTCCAATCTGCATCTCTTCCTCTTTTTTTCTTAGGGTTATGCAGTTTGAACATATATCTAGTGCTACTGAGCTTATTTTTTCCAGGCATTGGTTCAGGTTTGCATTTTCTAGCTGTTCTTCCCAGTTTATTTCTGTGAAGTCCTGGCTTATTTGTTCCCTGTTTATCTGTTTATTATTGAAGTTGAATTTGCTGAAATCTCCTCCACCGGGAATCGGGACTGGTTTTGAAGGTTTATTCCCCATGCTAGTCAGAACTTGAATTAAGTTGTGATCTGAGTAACAGGTATTTGTAATCATTATGTTCTGGATCAATTCATCATTATTAGTGAAAATGAGGTCCAGCGTGTTCTCCTTCCTAGTTGGTTCTACTATTTGCTGGTTTAGGGCAAACCTGTTGCACATCCGTACCAGGTCATTTGCATGTGCCTGTTCATTTAGGCTACTTCCTGGAATTCTCTCTGATACAACCGTATCAGCTATGGTCTTCCATTTCAAGTGCCGTAGGTTGAAGTCCCCAAGCAGGATGATGTTTGGGGCTGGATTTGTGAGGTTTTCCAAACAGTGCTCTATTTTCATTAGTTGGTCTTTAAACTGCTGATGA